AAAAGCACCTTTGGGTCGTCCCAGGAACCTCCAGGGAAGAGCCAGAAGCCTTTTCTCCTCTTTGGCTGCTTCATGCCTGTCCAGGCTGGGGCAGGGGGTGGTGGTGGAGGGAGAGGTACGGGGAGGAGAGAAATCACACATCCCCCAGAGAAACAGGAGTGTGGCTTCCTCCATTTTCTCTCCATGCCAAACAAGACATCCTGTGCAGCCCGGAGGCTCCGGATGGCTCAGCCCCTGCGCAAACGTTGCACTGGCAAGAAATGACATCCCGGAGAAGTCAAGATTCCCCCAGATGAGAGAAGATGGTGATTTCCGAGCTCCTTTCTCCAGAGACGCTGAGCTGCCGTTCAGACGTTTCTCTCTGGCTCCCTGCACTGACTCCGTCTGGAAAACTATTCCGCAGAGGAGCCGAACCTTCTTTGATAACTCTTCAAGGTTTCCCCTGGAAGTAGCAGGAGAGGAGATGGGAGAGCAGGGGATGGGGAGGACAGGGGAGGGGATGAGAAGGGCAGGGCAGGGTAAGGATGGGGAGCGGAGACGAGGAGAGGAGAGGGATGGACAAGGCAGGGCAGGGCAGAGAAGGGAAGGGGAGAGGAGAGGAGGAGAGGAGAGGAGAGGAGAGAGAAGAGGGGAGGAGAGGGGAGGAGAGGAGAGGAGGGGAGGAGAGAGGAGGGGAGGAGGGGAGGAGAGGAGAGGAGGGGAGAGAGGAGGAGAGAGGAGGGGAGGAGAGGAGAGGAGAGAAGAGGGGAGGAGAGGAGAGGAAAGGAGAGAAGAGAGGAGGGGAGGGGAGGAAAGGAGAGGAGAGGAGAAAGCGAAAGGAAGAGAAACTGGAGTGGAAAAGGGAAAAAGGTTTCCTGTGGGAAGGAAAGACAGACGGGGGGGGGGCTGGGAGAGCGGTTCTCGTGGAAAGCCATCCCATAAACAAACACGGAGTTCTGGAATTTTTAATCAAGTGACTAAGACTCCCTTTTATCCCCTCATAACCTTAACTGTAGTACTAAAACATCCTAAAGCACAGCAATAGGCAGCTACGGCCAGATTCTGCCAAAAGATGCCCAGAGGCCTCGGGATGGGGGGGGGGGGGGCTCGCAAGAGCTCGGAACGAAGCGGGCAGGGCGGCGGCTGCCTTCACACAAGAGGCACAACCGGGTGGTTTGCGCGCACAACGCGGCTGGAGATCATCTGAAGGGGATCGTCGCTGCGTGTTCTGGGCAGGGTCTGTCTAGGAGCCCCCTCCCCTCGGGCCATGACTCGGGAAGAGGTGGAAAGCGAAAGCGCCGTTTTCTCTCTTTCTTCCTCGAGGACCCGCACTTTGGACGGGGCGGAGAACTCCGGCGGAGAACAGCTGCCACGCTGCAAGAACGCGCCGAGTTGGAGGGCGATGTGGCTGCCCTGGGCGCCCCTCTTGCTCCTGGGGGCGACGCTGGGGTCCTTGGTGCTGGGGGGCTGCTGCGGTGAGTTAACTGGTGGTGGGGAAAGCACGAGAGGGAAGAGGAGCGCTTATTCTGGGTTGGGTCTCTCCCCCCTTCCCTCCCTCCCCAGCTCTTTGCCCAGAAGGAAACGCCTTAACCATGGATACAATTAATCAGTGGAAAGGCTTCCCTCCAGAAGTTGTGGGTGCTCCAACGCTGGAGCTTTTTAAGAAGAGACTGGATTTGTCCGAAATGGTAGAGGGTCTCCTGCTTGATCAGGGGGTTGGACTAGAAGACCTCCAAGGACCTCTCCAACTCTGTTATTCTGTTATATAATTTTCTTCCCCAGCACGTAGCTGAGCTTCATCTAAAAATGTTCAGTATTTCATTTGTAATCTATCAGTTTTTATTTCTGAGGAAGTAGAGAAGAAAAGCCTAAGAAAGGGAAGGTCCAGAGTTCAGCCCTGTTGCCTTCCTTCTTTTCTCTTCTCTCCTGCCCTGGGCAAAGGGCAGAACTACCTGCAATAGTCCTAAAGGAAATCCACCCTGTTTGTTCTTTGGAAGGAGAGATCCAGTAGCTCAAAGACACCAAATGAGAACAGAGGAGCCCTTGGAAAAGACCCCGATGTGGGGAGAGATGGAAGCAGTGGTGGGATTTAGCCAGTTTGAACCAGTTTGGCAGAACCGGTAGCTAATTTTTGGTTGCCCCGGCCCAGAAGGGACGTCCGGAAGCGGCATCAACACAGTGAACTGGTTGTTCCCATATTTGAATCCCACCACTGGGTGGAAGGCAAAAGGGATGGCAGAGGATAAGGAGGTTGGATAGGGTCATCCATGCAATGAACATGGATTTGGGGAAAGTCCAGGAGGATAGGGGGGTGGGAGCCTGGTGTGCTGTGGTCCACCGAGTTGTGGAGAGTCAGAAGCAACAATAACAAAAAGGAACATTCTAAGTAAGGCAGATAGTGATGTCTCCTGCTGTTAACCTTTTTAATTAGGAACCTTTCTTTAAATCTTAGCTTCAGTTTGAAGGTAGAGCCATGAATTCATTCTGTGACACTCAGTTTGTTACTGAAGAGCCCACATATGGTCCATGTGGTTGCAAAGAGTCAGACACAATTTAGCCACCGAACAACGACAACCTGCAATAGAGCTCCACCCTGGTCAGCAGAACCTGGGGGCAATTGCGATTGGGGAGGAACCAGTTCTCCAACTCCCTTGTTAATTTCTGCAAGAATCAGGTCCCACTCTCTCTCCCCACAGCCGGCAAGGGGGTAGCGATCTGGGTCATGCCAACAAGTAGCTGTCTGGGAACCCAGAAACCCAGAGGAGCTGTGGGGGGCATCCTAACCTGAGGTGGGCTTCATAGCTGTTTCCAGGATCAGCCAAGGGATGCTGGGGGCTCCCTCCTTGGGCTTAAAGGCAGGACTCTTCAAATGCAGGGCAGAAAGGGGGGGCTTTTGTTGGGGGGGGCTAAATGACCAAATGTTGGAGGGAATGAAGCAGCAGATCAGAGCCCCTAATTGTGCCGTTCTCCCTCCTCCTCTCCAGGCTCCCTCACATACTCCCTGTGGTACATGTACCTGCAAGAGCCAGAACACAGCCAGGGTCTGCCTCCATATTTCATTAGAAGTTACTTGGACAACCAGCCCATCGCTCGCTATGACAGCCTCACCAGGAAGATGGAGCCTCTGGTGCCCTGGATGGAGGAGGTGGAGAAGGTGGGATTTCATGCTCTTGAGTGGGTCTTTGGAGCTGACCTGGAGAAGCTATCAGACCTCAACCATCAGACTGGAGGTGAGCAGAAGCAGTGCCACCTTTGGCCTTCAGCAATAGCAGGGGGCATAATGGTGAGGTTTTCTTTCCTGCAGTGGAAAATAAACCATCCCCAATTTTCTTCCTCACCTAGAAATTCTTCCTGACCTGGCTCCACCCAAAAAGGGCTAATTGCACCCTCTGATCATTAAGATCCAATTTAGTGATGGGAAAAGTAAGGTTTAATGTTTAGGCAAGAAAAACCAGATGCACAGGTATGGAATAGAATAGATGTGAGAGGGATCTGGGAGTCCTAGTGGGCAATCACTTAATTAGGAGCCAGCCGTGTGCTGCAGCTGCCAAAAAACCATGGAGCCTCTGGTGCCTTGGATGGAGGAGGTGGAGAAGGCAGGATTTCAGGCTCTTGAGTGGGTCTTTGGGATTGAACTTGGACCACCATGCTGGAGGTGAGCAGAGACAGTCTTTGGCCTTCAGCGATAGCAGGGGGCATAATGGTGAGGTTTTCTTTCCTGCAGTGGAGAGAAAAACACACACACACCCCTCAATTTTCTTCCTCACCTAGAAATTCTTCCTGGCCTGGCTCCACCCAAAAAGGGCTAATTGCACCCTCTGATCATTAAAATCCAATTTATTGATGAGAAAAGTAAAGCGCTTAGGCCAGAAAAACCACAACCACAGGTATAGAATTGGTGGTACCTAGTTCAATAGCAGTGACGGTGAGAGGGATCTGGGAGTCCTAGTGGACAATCACTTAAGTATGAGCCAGCAGTGTGCTGCAACCACCCAAAAAGCCACGCAGTCCTAGGCTTTATCAACAAAGGAGCAGTATCAAAATCACGTGAAGGTTTAATACAACTTTATACTGCACTGGTAAGGCTACACTTGGGATACTGAGTCCAGTTTTGGTCACCATGATATAAAAAAGAAGTTGAGGTTCTAGAAAGAGTGCAGAGAAGATCAACAAAGACCATTAGGGGACTGGAGACTAAAACATATGATGATTGGGCTATGGTAACTTGGAGTGTCTATGAAGAGGACTAGAGCTGAGGAGATAGCAATATTTGAGGAGCTGTCACAGAGAGGAGGGGGTTGATCTTTTCTCCAAAGCACCGGAAAGCAGAACAAGAGGTTCTGGAAGCTTATCAAAGGGAGGTCCAACCATGAACAAAGGAGAAATTAGTGAGAATAATTAACTAGTGGAACAGCTTGCCTCCATAAGTTGTGGGATTTTTTTTTGTCAAGGTATTGATTTAACAGCTAACCAGCTTATGTAATGTAAGATGTAATGGTGGCAATGACTCAGCAGAGTCTGTGTCTCTTTAAGAGCCTTTGTATAAAGGAAAGGCTCTGTTCTCTCTCTTCCAGTTCCTGCTGTAATTTGTGGTTTATTGTATCCTGCTGTATTAGCACGTGTATGTATATTGTTCCTGGTGTATGATATTGTAGATAGTATAAGATAAACCACTGTTTACTGTGTTTACTCCTGGGCTATCTCGCGCAATAAGATTGTGCACGCTCTGACATTTTTTAATATTGGAGGTTTATAAAAAGAGATTGGACAGCCATCTCTCTGGAATGGTTTAAGATCTCCTGCTTGAGCAGGTGGTTGGACTAAAAGATGTCCGAGGCCCCTTCCAATTCTGTTATTCTGATAAAAAAAATTTCTCCTTGCGTAATAAGGTGGGGAAGGAGAAATCAGGTTTCTCTCCCTAGGAGGGACGGGAGGTTAACTTTAATGGTAGACACCATTAATGGTAGGGAGAGGAATACTGGGCCCTTCTCACCACACCTCCTGGGTCTCTTTCAGGGCTTCACAACTGGCAGGTGATGTGGGGCTGTGAGCTCAAGAAAGATGGGAGCAAAGGAGGGTTTTTGCACTATGGCTACGATGGGAGGGACTTCATCAGCTTTGATAAGGAGACCCTCAGATGGGTGGCAGCTCAACCCCAGGCTGAGAAGGTCAAGGAGAAATGGGAGGATCATCCAGGGTGGACCCAGAAGAAAAAAATCTACCTGGAGAAGACCTGTATTGAGTGGCTCCAGAGATACTGGTTCTACAGGAAGAAGGCTCTACAGAGGATGGGTGAGTGGCAAAGGGGGGCTCCATTGAGCAGGTTTCTGTGGGCTCTCCCCTCCCCATATTATTTCTGTCTTGCATAGCCAAGGGGGTGGTGTGATGTCTCAGTGGTTAAGAGAAAGCCAACAGACCAGGTTCGAGACCAGAGTGCCACAAGATGATGGAAATGTCCTCAGACACCGCTGGCTCAATGGCCTTGAAACAGAGATGAACACTGCCCCCTAGAGGCGGCAATGAAGAGTGGAGTAAAATCCTCAGGGAGTCTTTTACCTTTTACATAGCCAAGCCATCTTTTAAACTAGTCTTTACAGAAAATGGTCAAGCAATATCCCACATCACATTACAGAAGAAAACAATCCTCAAATGTCTCCTAGAATAAGTTATTCAAAGATTAAGAAATTAACCGAGCAAGATATTAATGCTGCAAGACCCAGTTCTATTTCCCTGAGAAAATCCTGCATAGGACAGTTGGGGGAGGGGGTGGGCAAAATTGAAATCAATCCCCTAGCAATACAATGATTTTTTGTCAGAGTGACAACTTTACCCAAGTTCTAGGTATAAATCTAAACAGATTCAATGCTTCTATCTCTGAGGGTCCTGGTGGTTCAGGAGAGGAGAAAACCAGTGAGAGAGCATGACCAAATTAATGTCTTCCCACTTATGAAATTGCATTAACAGAAATATTAGAAATCCTGGTAACTCCAGTGTTGCTGTTTCTGCAGAGCCCCCAGTGGGGAACCTGACTCGCAAGGTGGTTGATGACAGCCTGGAGGTCCTCATCTGCCAGGCCTTTGGCTTCTACCCCAAGGAGATCCAGGCCACCTGGACCAGGGACGGAGAGATCTGGGAAACCAAGACCTCTAGTAGGAACGTGTCCCCCACCTCAGACGGGACCTATTATGTCAGGCTCTGCATTGAGATCGACCCCAAGGAGAGGGACCGTTTTAGGTGTCGCCTGGAGCACAAGGGCTTGCAGGGGCCCCTGGTCTTGGCTTTCAAGAAGGAAACAGGTGAGAGGTTCAGGAGTTGGACATATAGAAGCAGATTTTTCACCAATGTGGGGAAATGGAAAGAAGAAGGCTTTCTGTTGTGTTATCTCTAGTTTTCAGGTGGAGAGCAGGAGAGAATGATTTCTGACAGGTGAGTTAGAAGCTGAGAGCAAAGTTATGAAGATATATGACATATTGTCATGGATGTTCCTTCGGCCCCCTCTCCGGATGTGATATTAGCCAGGTCCTGGCACCTCTGGGGAAGGGAGCACAGCACCGGTGTGATTCAAATATGTGAACAACCGGTTCTCTGTGTGGATGCCACTTCTGGAAGACCATTCTGGGCCTGGGCAACAAAAAATTACCTACCAGTTCTGCCGAAGTGGTGCGAACCATCTGAATCCCACCATTGGAGCATAGGGATGCATATAGACATGGACCAGGGAGTGGAGGGCTCTGGCTGAATGGAGCAGCCACAATCAGAATGACTTGATGGGCAGCAGCTGAGCCCAAGCAGAGGGAGCCACAGTTGCAGCAGGTTAACCTGGAGGCTTCAGGCAAAGAAGGGGAGCAATTGCTTGCAGTCAGCGAGGATGAGGGGGTGGAGTCCATGCCTCCCCCCAATCCAGGGCAGGTATTTCTGCTTCTTGTGTTTTGAAATTTGGGTCTCTGGTTTGTGCCTTGATCTGGTGCCTTGCCTCGTGGACTAATTCAAGCCTTTGGAACTCTTGCTTTGTCAAAGGCCTTTGTTCTGGCTTCTGCCGGGCTTCGGGAATTGAGACTGCTCTGCTCCTCTTCCTGATTTTTTAAAAACTCCGGGTGGAACTCAAGAGAGGCCTTTTGTTATTCAAGAGCTGCTGGGAACTGTTTATATCAGGGATCAGGCAGCTCAACCTTTTAACCTATTGCTGTGTGTGCATGTGTGAGCAAAGCAGCACAGATATGATATGATTTCATATGATATGAAAGAAATGGAATGAAGTTGAAAGATTATTTTCCTTTCTGGTAGAGTTATCTGATGGGATACGTTATACCTTGTCATTCAATGCCCTTTTCAGTAGAGGACGTTAGACTTTTGTCAGCCCAACAAGGTAGACCAGACTAAAAAAATCAATGTCAATTACTTTAGTATTACTCATTTTATAAAAGTATAATGACCAAACCTTGAAGTCTGGACATGCTTCCCCCTCCCTCCATTTATCTTCAGGTGAACTAGGGACAGATCTATTTGATACCTTTGCTTAAGCTGATTTCTTGGCCCAGGCTGAAGCACCATTTACCTGACTGCTGCCTTGGTTGTGGCTCTTCCTTCTGCCCATTAAGGGCTATTTACCCCTCCCTCTTCTGCCTTGGAGGGGAGGGGCTTCTTTCAGGTGGGGGTCCTTCCTGGAGGCCAGCAAAGATTGGAAAATGTTACCTTGCTCAGCATCTCTCTAATCAGGACCATGTTTCTCTTTCTTTAGCTACATTGTGGTGGATTCCTGAGGGAATTGTGATTGCCATATTCTTGGTATTTGGGATTATCTTCCAGAAGTGTAAGTGAAAACACATCCACTGAACACCTAACCCCGTGTCTTTCTGAGTGAACTAAGTTGGTGTGAATGATTGAGCCTCCCTGAAAGTTACAACCAGGACCCTTTCAAGCTCCTTCCCCACAAATAGCATTTTGAATAGGAGTCAAAAGGAAAAAGAAACTAGGCAGCCATTTTTCAACTCCTATACATCTCAGAAGTTCAACAATCCTGTTGTTTTGCAGGGAGCCTCTTTGGCCTCAGTGGACTTACTTCAGAGGAGCAAATATCAGGAGCTCAAAAATCAAAGAAAAGTCACATAAATGATATGAGAAGCACTAGGAAAAACCCCCCCATAATCCTGCCCCTGAAGAAGGTCAGGGAAGTTCAATGGGAAGATGTGGGCAGTGGGGGAGGGGTCCTATGCTCTCTGCATAGGAAGGTCCAGTGGTAGAAGGAGCTGCTGCGTGCTCTGTTCCTACTCAGAGCAAGAGACATCAGAGAGCAGATGGATGTGAGAAGTGTCTCCTCAGTTGAATTTCACCAAGTGTGGCTCAACACAGGCTTGTAATTTTCTCAGCAACATTGTGGAAGTGTTTGCCATTTTCTCCTTCCAGAATGTGCCTTTTGACCTGCTTGCAATTTGTCTTGCTTGCTTGCCGGTCTTGGGTGCAAGTGCCAAGCCAGTCAGACCCAGCCTGGCCTTTCAAGATCAGCCAATGTTACTAGTTCTTCAGGGGCTTTGGACTATAAATCAAAACAAATGTAGTTGGATAAGAACTATCAAGCTTGGAATATATGAAGAATACCATCTGTCTGGCACCAATAACAGGATTCCCAGAGGTCTAGCATCATTGTTTAAAATAAATGAATGTTGATTTGGGACAGGGTCCTTTTGGGAACAGCCCTGCTGGCCACCTTTGAATGGTTTCAACAGCACAGGGAAACCAGGACTGTGACATTCCATAGGACAGTGATGGCAAACCTTTTAGAAACTGAGTGCCCAAATTGCAACCCAAACCCACTTATGCATCATCGGGTGCCGGGTGGGTGTGGCTCATTGGGTGGGTGTGGCCCATTGGGTGGGCGTGGCTGCGATGGTAACAGCAGACTGGGTTGGACTAAAAAGTTCAATCAATCAATTCCAACTTTGCAAGATCTTTTTTTTTTCCCTCAAGAAGTTGAGGGATTGACTGATTGATTGAACCTTTTTTTTTTTTTTTTGCACATGGCGGTGGAGGCTTAAAGCGAAAAGGTTTTATAAAACCCAGCTGAAGGCCTAGGACTGGGGCAATGGCGTGCGTGCCCACAGAGAGGGCTCTGAGTGCCGCCTCTGGCACCCGTGCCATAGGTTCACCACCACTGCCATAGGAGCTCTAATAGGAGCAAGGAGAATTTCAACTTGATTATTCCTCAATAAACCCCAGGAATGTTCCATTTCATTTCCCCCCAACCAGCAGCTCTTGACAGCCAACAATTCTGCTCTTTGTCAGAAACAGAAGGGAGCATTAATACATGTTTCCCAAGATGCTAGGTTATAATCTGACCAGTTAGTCCATCTGGGCCTTCTGGAGGTCTTCAGCCTGAATCCTTCTCTGTCTCAGACAGCTGCTGTTCAAAAATTAACCAGCGTCCCTCTCTTTTTGCCATTGATCAGGGCGAAGATGCAGGAAAAATTTCCATCAAGACGTGTCAACTTGCTCTGATCCCGTTTCTCTAGAAAAAGCTTCCTTCTCTCCCTATGAAGATGAGATTCAGTCACAGGCAATGTTCCAACCTAAAATTAGCTCAAAGGTGAGTCTGACTATTGCTGATGTCTATTTAAGAGACTAAACTCCACTCTTGGAAAATACCTGGGAGACAAGAGCATCTGGCTTGTTGTGGTGGGGAATTGTTAAGATATTTAAAATGTAATAGCTGGAGCAGTGAAGGATTGGACAATGAGTAAGAACAGACACTTATAGCTAATGGGTTGAAGAGAGCTGGCCACTGCATGAGAGAATCTGAGCTGTAATTGGTTGCTGTGAGAGTAAAGGGAGAGTTTCCTTGTTCCAAGTTTTTTTTCTGTGAGGCAACCTGAGATGTGATTGGTTGCTGTGAGAGTGAAGGGTGAGTTTCTTTGTTCCCCGCTTTTTTCCTCTGAGGCAACTTGAGTTGCGATTGGTTGCTGTGAGAGTGAAGGGGGAGTTTCTTTGTTACCTGCTTTTTTCCTCTGAGGCAACCTGAGTTGCGATTGGTTGCTGTGAGAGTGAAGGGGGAGTTTCCTTGTTTCCCCGCCCTTTTGCCCTGTGTGCTCTCTGTAATTTACTTCATGATGTTTCTCCTATGTTGATTTACCTGACAATGCTCCTGTTTGCCTCTCTTATTTACTGTAAATATATTTATTTATATAAAAACACAAGTTCTGGTCAGTGTCTCTACTCCATTTGGACACCGGCTGTGCAATTCCCTGATAGGAATCCAACCTCTAAGTCTTTCCAAGGTAGCCATGGAAGATGGTGGCCTGCCTGGAAGTTCCTTTGGAGCTCAGCCCCTCTTGCCTGGGGCCCTCTGATCAGCTTAACTGCTGGGAAGATTCAGTCCAGTTCACCCTCTCCACCCACCAGCTCTGAGGGAAGAATGTGGGAAGCAAGTATTGGGCACCCTGGAAAAATAAGGATGTCTCTCCAAGGAGTACTGAAGGGGAGGGAAAGAAAGAGATTGGGGTCTAGAATAACATGATGAAAGGGAGGGACGTCCAGGAAAAAAGCTGCTTGATAATGATGAGCTGGAGGGGTAACAAGAAAGGAACTCTAGGAGAGAAATGAGGATCCCTCCGCAAGAATTCTTCTCTCTAGGGAGGAACTTTCTGGGGATGAGAACTGCAAGCTCTTCTTCAATTTGGCTGCTTGCCCCCATGCCTGCCGGGGGTTTCTCTGGGGTAACAGGTAGATAAGGAGAGGAGAGAAAAGTCCTCCTCATAAAAACCAGGGTGTTAACTTCCTCCATTTTCTCTCTTTACACAAAACGCATCCTACGAAGGGTGGAGACCCGAGAGAGTTTCAACATTGCCCAGTGGAGGAAGCAACAGATGCCAAAAAGGTGGCAAACCTGAAACAGAAACAGAAATCAGAGTTGGAAGGGACTTTGGAGGTCTTCTAGCCCAACCCCCTGCTCAAGCAGGAGAACCTATACCTTTTCAAACAAATGGCTGTCCAGTCTCTTCTAAAGAGCCTCCAGTGATGAAGCACCTACAACTTCTGGAGGCAATTCGTTCCACTCATTAATTGTTCTAACTGTCAGGAAATTTCTCCTTAGTTCTAGGTTGTTTCTCTCCTTAATTAGTTTCCATCCATTGCTTCTTGTCCTGCCCTCAGGTGCTTTGGAGAATAGCTTGACTCCCTCTTCTTTGTGGCAGCCCCTGAAATATTGGAACACTGCTATCACGTCCCCTTATTTCTTCTTTTCACTAAGCTAGACATACCCAATTTCTGCTATCGTTCTTCATGCGTTTAAGCCTCCAGCCCTCTAATCAATTTCATTGCTTTTCTCTGCATTCTTTCCAGAGTCTCAACATCTTTTTTGTATTGACACAAGCAAAACTGGATGCAGTATTCCCACTGTGGTCTTTCCAAGGCACTATAAAGCGGTGCTAACACTTCGGGTGTCTGGATTCTATCCCTCTGATAATGCAGCCTAGGATTGCCATGGCTTGTTTTGGTGGCTGCAGCACACGGCTGATTGATATTTCACTGGATCTCCTGGATCCCTCTTGCACCTGCTGCTATTTAGCCAGGTTTCACCTATTCTATACCTGTATATTTGATTTTTCTTGCCTAAATTTTCTCACTTTTCTCACCACTGGATTTCATTTTGTGAGATAGGGTCCAGTGTTCAAGTCTGTTAAGATCCTTCTGGATCTTGAGCCTGTCTTCTGGGGTTTGGACTATTCCTGGCAGCTTGGTGTTGACTGCAAATTTGATGAGTTCCTCTTTTATCCTCTCAGCTAAATCATTTATGAAGATGTTGAAGAGTACTGGGCCTAAGAGAGAACTTTGGGGTATCCCACTGCTTACTTCCCTCCATGTAGATTAGTTCAGTTAAGGACTAAATGCTGAGTGTCTTTTATCAGCCAGTTATGAATCCATCTGGTGGCGATGCTGTCTATCCCACTTTTTTCTAATTTCAGAATCAGAATCAGAATAGAGCTGGAAGGGACCTTGGTGGTCTTCTAGTCCAGCCTCCTGCTATATCACCAGATCCTATACCATTTCAGACATGTGACTCTCCAGTCTCTTCTTAAAAAACCTCCAGAGATGAAGCACCCACAATTTCTGAAGGCAAGCTGTTCTATGGGTTAATTGTTCTCACTGTCAGGAAGTTTTTCCTTAGTTCTAGGTTGCTTTTCTCCTTGATTAGTTATACTACTACTACTACTACTACTACTACTACTACTACTACTACTACTACTACTACTACTACTACTAATAATAATAATAATAATAATAATAATAATAATAATAATAATAATAATAATAATAATAATAATAATAAAGTTGGAAGGGACCTTGGAGGTCATCAAGTCCAAACCCCTGCTCAGGCAGGAACCCTACACCATTTCAGATAAATGGCTGTCCAGTCTCTTCTTAAAAACTTCCAGTGTTGGAGCATTCTGGAGGCAGGTTGTTCCATTGGTTAATTGTTCTAACTATCAGGAAGTTTTTCCTTAGTTCTAAGTTGCTTCTCTCCTTGATTAGTTTCCACCCGTTGCTTCTCGTCCTGCCTTCAGGCGCCTTGGAGAATAGCTTGACTCCCTCTTCTTTGTGGCAGCCCCTGAGATATTGGAACACTGCTATCATGTCCCCCCTCGTCCTTCTCTTCGTTAAACTAGACATACCCAATTCCAGCAACCGTTCCTTATATGCTTTAGCCTCCAGTCCCCTAATCATCTTTGTTGCTCTTCTCTGTACTCTTTCTAGAGTCTCAGCAT